ATTAATAAAAAATGCAATCTAAACAGTTTTAACAATTACGTATACATATTAACAGTTTATAAATATTTTTAATGTAAATTAGTTTAAAGGACTATACATAAACTGTTCCCGCGATTGTATGAAATCAGTCTAATGTTTGTTAACCAAAGCATTAAAGGCAGCCATTATTCATTAAGCTTTCAAAGTATAGTTTCAAAAGAGAAGATGTTTGGTACTCACCGACAAGGTGTTTCTTGCCGGTTAATGTACATAATCGTGCTGTATCAGCTGCCGAACTTCATCAGCAGTCAATGCGGCAATGGCACGTATTTCAGTCATGATTTGGAAGGGTGCTTGGATTGCCCTGACATACCCTCGATTGATTGTCGAGATGTACACCAGAGTGACATAAAATCGTGCTTAGAAAATTGTATAAGTATAACAGGTAATTATTTTACTGATTATTGACTGAAATATAGCTTGACCATCATATATTATAGTCTATGTATAGAACGTATACTTGCCTCATGTACTGTATTATATATAGGCTAGATATATTAGGAATAGCTCTGGTTGTCGATCCACACTGCCAAATCAGTCTGCTTATCAGTCCGGACTAGTATGTACAGTAATTGCATGAATATAAGCATGGATAAAAACGGTTGCATTTCAAACTTTGCCATAAACTAAACGTATGATCAGCAGTAATTTTCTTACCCTGGTTCCAGAGGTTTATTTTTATTATTTTCATTGCGAAGGGGAGAGGAAAAATAAACCTCTGGTTGAAAGCGGCAATTGATTCATCGAGCCGCGCCAATCAGTTTGAATTAGGGTCAGATCCTGACTCTGTCTCCTGATTGGATGATTGTATTAAAGCTCTCTGATTGATTCAAATAAAACATCCATAACCAATCAGAGAGCTTTAATACAATCATCCAATCAGGAGACAGAGTCAGGATCTGACCCTAATTTAAACTGATTGGCGCGGCTCGATGAATCAATTACCGCTTTCAACCAGAGGTTTATTTTAAACCTCTGGAACCAGGATATAATTTTCTCACGTCAGAATGACAATCGCATACGACTAATCGTATCGTGCAGATAGGCAATTTAAATGTCTTCACCTCATTTCGAAGTTCATATGAAATCATATCCAAGCCAGTGCGCAAAGCTAACTGATAAAACTACTAATAAAAATACGAAACATACCAGACCCCCTTCCCCATTGATTTATTTAGATTTAATAGCTTGATTTTTCCCTCAATGCTGTTTCAGTAATATTCAATTGTGGTATTTAATAAAAAAATTATGGTAACTGCGTGACGAACAACGTCATTAATTGGAGAATTCGAGTTGTATAGACTATCAGACTTCTAGTAATCTAGTTGGGGTTGTAAGCAATCTTTAAAATATTATTCGTTTTCAAATTGAAGAGCGAAGCAAAACGTTAACTGGTTCAATGAATGATTACGTGCATGTAGGCAGCAGGCAACACAGAAAGTGTATTTACCCCCAAGTATTATCTCATATGATAATCAGATTGTCAAAATACTCGTACTGAAAGCTGCACTGCGCGCTCAAGTTTGATAATACGGATTCATCTCTTCATGATACAATACAAACATTTAAAATGCACTATAGCAACACTCAAAAAGTTATTTTGCTATTGCGTCAACTTCAAAATATTCGCATTGTCTTTTACTAACCATCCGAAGCCAATTTGCATATTGATTGAATTCACAAACAAGGTTATACTCATTTGGTTTTGTAGAATCCAAATGAAAAAAATCATTCTGACTGACATCATGCATGCATGCATGCAATACCAATGTATAAGCATATTTCATATATAAAATACGTTTCAATGTTTATAAATCACAATAATCCTACATGTATTCAACAAAAATTACGTATGCACAATAATCTAGGGTAATTCCCTTGGAAGAAAAAACCCTGAATCAGTTATTTTTCAATTTTTCCGACTAAAACATTCCACCAGTAGGTTAGACTATGCGCAGTACTAGTGAAGGGAAATGTTGTCGAAAGTAAAATTTATGATAAAGTCCAGGTATTGAATAATCGCCATGCTTGTTGCAAGCGGGCATAACATAGGGCAAGTGAAACGAATATAACTCGAGCGCTACCCCCAACCGGAATCTTAAAGGCAATCTTGAAGGTCAGTCCCAGTCTTTTCATGCATGCGAAGAGCACGGTCAATCCGTCAACATAAATATGTAATGAAAAACGTCTTAACATTTACAAAAAACCTTTTCAACGGCGCTGGAAACTTTCTATTAATGCATTTTTCAGGTAAAATTTCCTAATAGACTTTTCTTATTTAATTTATTAAAACGGCTCCCTGAACTAGTCCTGCGAGACACGCGTGTCTAATGGTTAGATGTGGCTTCAAGAAAAAGATGGGTAGGGTTCCAGTTATATTCATTTCACTGCACAGGGCACAGAACTGGGTTGTCTCCAACTGCATGAATGCCGATATATGCCTCATATACGATGCTGCTCATATACCACCTCAGTCCGATGGATAAGCATCGGGGAGACTGACGATTTATGTGGTATGTTCATAAGATCATATTTGTTTTAATTGTCGAAAGCGGTATTGGATTCAAGGCTACGTAGCATTATTCTCTCACATTTTAGTAATCTTTGATTTAATGCCTCCTTCATGATCAGTACTGGCCTGGATAAATGTCTAGCTCTTCCTGATCTATTGAAGAAGATGGATTGAGGTGGGACTTTCCTTCCTCCGAGAGGTTTACATATCTAAATTTTTATACTTTTATACATAGATATTGGGAATAAAATTGTAAAAAAATTAAAATCGTTGAAAAGAACTTCGAAGCTGCGTCTAGTGGACATTTTGCTACATTTTCTCTACATGCAAGTCAGTCTTGGTTTGAGCTCAAAAATTTAATCGTGAGCATTTGAAAATGAAAAATCAGGGATACATCATATTAGAAAAGTGGGTTACTTTTTATAACATGATTAAAAAAAAATCGCAAGAAATATAGGTTCAGGCCGTCAGCATTGACAGTTTAAATTAGAGAAATGATTATTTGGGCTTGAGAGTCGATTATCATTTTATTTAAATTGAGGTTAAATTAATAAACTGTGCATAATTTTCAGCAACTTCAACACCAAGTCATCATGAAAAGAAACCAACGCCAACAACAAAGCATCCGTCTAAACATCTTCGACAGCGCATTGGTGGGATCATATTGGATCACTTTATTGTACTGGTATGTGTTGTTGTCTTGGGAACACTTGCAGTTGCGTACATCGTTTGGAAATGTGTGCATCCAGAGCGGTGGCCTACCTATACCGTTGCTGCATATTATTTGCGGATTGGAACAGAAAATACAGCAGTGCAATCAGAAAATACAACCAATGGCCGAGATAAACGACAGTCACCAGGCGCCATTCAACTGCCGATCCGTACGCAGCGAATATAGGAAAAAGAATGTGTATATATATAATTCAACAATCAAGAGCCCATCCATTCTGGAAGCGCATGCACTTTCCTCTCCAGATGCTTATCATTTAGTCTTGGGGGCTTTATCAGCTAACCTTGAGGGCTTTCAAGCATTTTTATTAGCCCAGTTAAATGAAGTCTTGAGAACGAGTGAGAGAGCGCGCAAATAGTAACTTCCAACCCTTAATTTTTAATGTGTTGAAACCTCACGCGCTGTCTCACTGATATCTACTTCAAAAGGCATTAATAATTCATGAGGAAAACACAAAGAAAAATCATAAGCGTGTCGTATCTTTATATGTGATAGAGATTTACATAAACTTTAACTTTGATTTTCTCGACTTACCAACGTATTTTTTGAAAATTACTTTGCCAATGAACTTACTAGATCGATCGTTTTTTGAAGCAATTTAAAACATTCGCAGTGCGTGTTTTATCAGACCTAAAGATACTAGGCTTCGCCTCGTATCTTTATATCTGATAAAACGCTGCTGCTCATGTTTTAAATAGTACGTATGCATACCGTCGTGTTGTACCGCATGTCTTGGTGATTATAAATACAATATAAATGTCGCACGTTTCTGGACGTGTACCAAGTTGTACTGACGAGGTGTAGAACGCTGAAACATGCATGTCTGCCGATTGTCTGCTTTAAATTAATGAAATACTTCTAACACAGTATGTACCACACTAGGAGGCGCATCTCTTCTCTCACACTAGGAGGCGCATCTCTTCTCTCTCTCCCCTCAAAATTATTAGTCACTAAGAGCGACTAAAGGCTACACAAGCGTTTTGTCGTTATCGGAAAATGTATGGCTTATAAGTTGTCATTACTCATTAGTGAATGCGCGTATACATGAAACTGTTTTTACAGTTTCAATATTAGTTTGTAAATCTCTGAATGGTAAAACTTGCCAATACTCCAATAATACGTTTCAAAAAAAAGACAAAAAAGCTTTAGTTTTGCAGAGTTAAATTCTCAAACGTGTAAGGCAATAATAAGATGAAAGTATCACGAAATTATTTGAATAGACCACATCATATATATGGGGGGCGAATGTCCTAAAGAGGGGCGCTATTCCTAGGGTATTCGCCCCACCCCCCTGGGAGGCGATATTCCTAGGATATTCGCCCCCGGGGCCGGGCGATATTCCTAGGAATATCGCCACGTTTTGAGGGGGGGACGAATTTCCTGGGGGGGGGGCGACCTTTTTAAAAATTCTATCATGCCCCCCAAAATTTGAGTTTGCCCCTCTAATGCCCCCCCCCCAAATTTGGAAGTTTGGCGCCGCCACTGGAAGTGCTTATGTCACGCAATGTGGAATACTTGTTGGTCAAATATTCTTTGTCTGGCAATCCAAGGTATGCGCAATGCAATGTGGGATACATGTATGTTTAATATTCATTATCTGACAGTGACGTGACGTAAGGAATTCTAAGATCAATTGATACTCTAAAAACACTTCGGTTAAATTTGGGATAATTCAACCAGGATGGGGTTAAAAATCCACCAACACAATTCTCGTTAAAAAATTAACCATTTTCCTGGTTAAAAGTCCAAAGAAGTATACCAGATTTCTGTTGAATCGAAAACAGGAAATGTGTTCATAAATTTAACCAGGGTTATTGACTCAGTTCCTGCCTGCTGGTTAAATTAACCACAGTGTTTTTAGAGTGTATATATATGCCTTAGCGGAACAGAACGATGTAGGCGACTTATACCGGCCCTGCAAGCCAAGTTACTCTCCTATGATGTGTGCGTATATACAGCCATGCAGGCAAACTGTGTGTTTTCCATGGAATCGAGATACTCTGCATTTAACACTTCGCATTGTCGACCTCGATTTATTCTCATGTATTTTTGAACTTGATTATAATTCAAATACAAGGATTCTTCATTCTATATATCAATATACCTATATATAGTGGAGCGACAGCGTGCTCAGAGAAGAGAATTTTGGACTATAGAACAAGTCTTATTCATTCCGAACAATTCATTTGGCTTTCGTGAACATTGCCGTATAGTCGTATTATGAAGTAGAATAAAACTGACACACTTAAGAATGTAATATCACATCGAGGCCAATTATGTAATTTGGTAAGCGTATATACTTGATGTAAAGCGCATGCATTTGATCATATCCATTATCCACATGTAAATTTGCGCGCTATAGAAATGCTAATCGTAATCGTAATATATTACTGTTTGTTGGCATAAATAATCTTATTTGTAAACTAAAATGAGTCAATAATGATCGAGGGCTGGGCTCCCGCGCACAAAAGTTGTAATTATTTTTAATACAAAAAAGCCCTATAACATACGTTCTCAGTCCAAATTTGCGCCATGCGAATTAATATGGCCGACCGGGTTAATTTTTAAAAACTCGTGTGAGAGACGGAGAATCACTAAGTCTGTTAAAGGCTGCTTCTGCGATAATAGAGGCGTGGTGCAAATTCTTTGACGCAAAGTCTTTTCTAAAGAGCAACTGTGCAATTTGGAAGCGATATATTCACTTTTTGTCAATTTGTTAAGTCAGTTTGATAAAAAAACTGAGATGGTATAGATCATTTTGTTTAAGCTGATGGTCGCCACGACCGTTCTTAAACCGGCAGAAACGGCGGGGGAAGGGGGGAAGATTAGATGTTTGGACAGAAAGAAATACAAATTCTCTAATCCTGTCAATCACAATCTTTTAGATTAATGATGAGCTTGCCGTTCTAAATTATCAATTCTGAATCATCTAACAAAATTTTGCGACTAAAATGGGTTTGTTCGTGGGTGTATATTTTAAAACTTGCATCTGCAAAGAAATAGTTTGTAAAACCTATAGGCCACACGTGCGATTTTTCTCTCGCACAGGCATATAATTTCAGGGCATTTTTTAAGAATTCATCAGTGGGGGGGGGCATCTACAAAAAGGGACCATACTATACCAAGTGTGGAGAAATGATAGATGGTTGTTGGTAACAAAAAGTTTGGTGTGGTATTGTATTTAATAGTAGGGGGGTCTGGGGGTATTCTCCCCCAGAAAATGTTTTGTATTTTTCTACCCCTATGACTGCAAGTTCTGCATTTTCTGAAACAGATTTTTGGATATACAGCATTACATTATGCTGTAGATAGACTGAACCTTCAGTGAAGTATTTCCATGGTATGTTTATGTAGATACCACAATTTGATCACTCAGGGAGCCAGCTTGATAAACTTAGAGGACCCGACTCCCACGTGCACGAAGCGACACCATGGTTGGCACAGAGCGGAGAAATTTTGAAAATTTTATGTCTCTAAATCGTCGGAAATGGCATTTTCAAAGTCTTCTCTACCTCTTTTGTTAGGCCCTTTCATTAATTCTTTCATTATAATTTGTGAGTCTATGCTATCCGTGAGTCAGGATGGATTATTACGAGAAATGTTGTTATCAAAATATCGATTACAGATGTTTGATTATATATATATATATATATATATATATATATATATATATATATATATATATATATATATATATATATATATATATATATATACATATATATATAATATTTAATAGATTTGAAGATTTGTAATCCAGGCATTTTATTAAATTATAATTTTTACAAATTTATACAGTGTTCTCCGGATTGTAATAATTTGTTTTGAGCTTTCGACTCGGTACTTCGAGCCTTCATCAGAAAGATTGATCATTTGAATTTTCGCGCTGTTGTTGACGTTGTTGAAGTCTGTGGGAACGTCTGATTGGTTGATGGATTTCAGTATGTTGGTTGCCATTAGTTACTATCGAATGCGGGTGATTATTGTTATCATGAGACGGTGTAGGGAAGAAAGTTGAGGGTGGGTTAAAGGTTAATGAAGATGAATTAGGAGATTTGTGAGAGCGTTTCAGTTGTAAGTAAATTGTAGGGATGTCCGGTACTTGCTACTGTCAAAAAGGACAAAACAGACGACATCCGACTAACAATTGACAACACCACTAAGAACATCAAATTTACCAAAGAGGAAGAACATGACAACAAACTCGCATTTTTTGACATCCTAATAACAAAAGCAGACAACGGCATTTAACCACACAAGTTTATCGCAAGAAAACACACACTGATCAAATTTTAAATTATAATAGCAATCACCCAACACAACACAAAGTCAGTTGCATAAAGACTCTATTCAACAGAATTGACACACATTGTAACACTGATCAATCCAAACAAGACGAACGCAAGTATTTATACTCTACTTTTTACAAAAATGACTACCCTTTAGACTTCATTAATAAGGTGCTACAACATAAACAACAAACTAACACGGACCGACTTAACCAAACAAAAACGAGGATTACACTTCCTTACATACATACTACATCAGAAATGGCAGTTAGACTCCTCCGACCTTTCAACATTGACGTTGCACACAAACCAACATGCAAACTTAGGTCCAACTTCACTAAACACAAAGACAAGACACATATAACGGATAAACATAACGCCATTTATATCTTCCCGTGCAAAAACTGTCCGGATAAGTACATTGGACAAACTTCTAAAAAGATTCAGACAAGACTAACAGAACACCAGAACGCAATCAACAGACACGACCATAGCTCACTTCCAGCTAAACACACAGACGACAACGGACACAAATTCGACTGGTCTCAAACGAGAGGCCTAGGACAAGCAACTACTAAACATGCCCGTGAGTTTAAAGAAGCGTGGCATAGTTTAGACAAACAAACATTTAACCGTCACATTGACATCCCTACAATTTACTTACAACTGAAACGCTCTCACAAATCTCCTAATTCATCTTCATTAACCTTTAACCCACCCTCAACTTTCTTCCCTACACCGTCTCATGATAACAATAATCACCCGCATTCGATAGTAACTAATGGCAACCAACATACTGAAATCCATCAACCAATCAGACGTTCCCACAGACTTCAACAACGTCAACAACAGCGGTAAAATTCAAATGATCAATCTTTCTGATGAAGGCTCGAAGTACCGTGTCGAAAGCTCAAAACAAATTATTACAATCCGAAAAACACTGTATAATTTTGTAAAAATTATAATTTAATAAAATGCCTGGATTACAAATCTTCAAATCTGGGGGGGGGGCAAAATGGTTGAGTGGGGGGGGCACCGTGGGGGCTGGGGGGGGGGGCTTTGCCCCACCCCAGTTATATAGTTAAAAAATGCCCTGTATAAATTCCCCGGCGATAATTCTGGATATCACAAAAACCTCATCCAACAACGACTGTTTATTATGGGGCCAGCTGTTTAGTTTTGCAGGTTGCACTACTGTGGTTATATTATAGGTACAGCTAGCTAATGCTATAATGAAAATTGAATTTACTATAATTTTCATGTTGTTTCAGAAAGTAAAATGTAAAAACTTGCTCACTTGTAACCACAATTAATTACCGTAACCCTAACAAAACTCTAAAACTTTGCGAGGCAAATTAACCCAACCATCAATTAACTCGACTTTTGAATATTGAAGAGTTCCGGCGCACTTCTGGCGAGGGAGACACCAATTCTTATTTGTTGATATCAGTAGGGCCCGTTGGTTAGAAAGCCGATTAGCTTAATCTTAGGTTAACGAAAAGTTCCAAAGCAATCTTCCCATCAGTTTGTTTAGAAACATGAAGATAGTTTTCCACAATTCATGTCTGCATGGATCAATAGGGATTCTATTTTCCAAAGTTTTGAAATAAACAGAAATTCAAACGTAACCAAACTAAAAGAACTGCTTCAATTTTAACCCAAGTTATCCAGCTCTGAACAACTGGCTCAAGGTCTGGATGAAAAATTTAGGGGTTACATCGCTTGAACAGTTTTAGTCGTTGTCCGACCAGTATAGCATTGAAATGCAAATTAAAGTTACAAAACGTGATTAGTCAGCATCATCTTTGTATAGCTTTAATCACAAGACGAACGTGCAAGGGATTGTTCCTATCAAAATCGTAACCAAGAAGAAATTCTTCAAAATGTCTAGTTGTCCTAAAGACAAGTATTACTCGTCGTTCCTGGACACCTGTGTTGAGTGCCCAGATCTGATACAAAAATGCCGCAATGAAAGTCCTATTGACGCGCAGTCATGTAGCAGATATTGTGCAGGTAATGTTGCGCATACTGTTTATATAGTCGCTTTATTTGATTTACTTGATATTTTATTCAACTTATTCGTATAATTGACCACCATAAACTGGATCAATATATATTATTTTACATGCCATGACTGCATATCTATATGCCGTATTAATTTCTTTTGATACACGACATGCTATACGTCTGTGCTTACTATGTCAGTTGGCTGTGCACGGTACAAGTAATTAAAGCATGTACTGTAACCTAACTTATACAGAACAGGCAGAGTTTGAACACTGGTCTATTTGGTATTTTTTGTTAAGATATTGATTAGAATTTTTCGAAAACGGTATATTGAAGAATTTTCGTGTTCGCTAATGGGATTCCCCAAAAGCCTATATACAGAGGGTTTCCCCCTTCCCACCAGGTTAGTCGCGGTTCAGTGAATACGCGGATTTCACAATTTTCAATACTTTATCAATTTCCCGTTTATATTCATAATCTTATAAAAAACCATCATATAGCTGAGTTGTGGTACATAAGGTTACAAAGAATTTTTTCAATGATGAGCATCAAGAGATTATTTCACCCATCACATATAGACGCGTTGATCGTCTTCAAAAGTAGGAGAAGGACGCTTAAGGTGGCTCGATACTATTTTAAAATTGGAACATTTGTGATTTAGGTCCGTATTTTTGAACAGGTATTTACTTGTTTAATTTCCTTACTTCTTTACAAAAGATATCTTGTGCTTAATGTAAAACAACATCTAAGGAGTTTGACATTTTTCACAAAAGTTACGCAACTGCCGTAGCTATGACTGTAATGACGTTTTGATATGGCTTACATTTCGGGCTTTAAACATCAGTTAACTCGTGAACGATATATCAGTGACCCTTAAATATTATTTCATTATAAATTGATTTCTCTTAGTATACTCATTTATCTTGATAATATTAAAAATATTATGTTTAGCCAAAATGTTTCAAATTTCGTCAATGTAATTATTCATAATAATATTTCTTGGTTCAACAGGCCTTTTAAAATTAGAAAGAAAATGCATATTCTAAGAAAAATCACTTATATGATTAAAATTTCGGGCTTACTGACGTTGTTTCCGATTTAAATTATTTTAGGGCCACCTACCATCCATTGGATTATGATCCAACGCCTCCAAATAATAATCCTTTCGAGTGAACACAACGATTCCCCGGACGTGAAACCCTATCTCAGGCTGAATCAATTTCAGAGTAACTTTGCTCGTTGAAAAGAGAACTCTCCCCTGCGCTCTCGCCGACATCTCCGAGTTCGATTGTGTTGCCTCTGGTGCAACACGGTCCCTGTTTTGGTTAGGAAAAAATAACCCGTTTCCCTTTCGATAGGCGATCTACGAATGGGAAGCTTTGTAACGGAATTTCTATATCTCTTAAGATCGACTAATCCATGTCCAACTGCCGTTTACATGGAATTATTCTTCACTTCAGTATTCTGAATATATGCATGCTAGTCATAGTCCTTTTCATCTTTCCCTCACGGCATGTGACCGCTATTGGGCTCGTGGGGGTCAGTGGGGGAAGGGAGGGAGAAGGGTGTGAGCTTTTATGAAAAGTTGGGCAGTTTTAGTTTGGAAAATGTTCTCTGTACGTTCCTCCTACAAATTTAGGCCCGTACGCACATGGCACTGAGTAAAGAAAGAGTAACGATGAGTAGCATTTCCTCACCTACTAATTTGCTTTTTTACCTATAGATGATCTGTCCAATGTTGGTGAAGACGGTCCTTCAACAATATTTATTGGCACTTTGGTCGGGCTACTGGCATTCGTAGTTGTCATGGTAGCCATAGTGGGAGTCAAATTGTACAAAAGATATTTTAAGCCAAGAAGAAATGAATTAGGTAGGAAAATCACAGCAACTGCTCGTGTTATTCAAATTTAAACAAAGTTGCAAACTTTTAGAAATGTATTGTCTAAATTTAGACTATTTTTAAAATCCACGTTCGTTGGCTTAGAATGCATTCGGCATCCTAAGAAATTCTTTTCTCTGTGCAATTATATACACGTACGGACGGTGGAAAAATACATGGAAAGAAAAATAGAATTAATGATCAAAGAGGGCGCAATGGTGCACATTGTAAGCAATTAATTACAGCCAGATTAAATATTAAGTAATGAATATATGCCATCAACCACGAAGTTACCTTTTTATAAGTTACTTAATTTGCAGTTACGACAACGCCGCAACGTGGAACTCGATATTATCATCGAACATCCTATACTGTATCGAAAAGCTCGATTCAAACACATGAATTTCTCGTCGATTTACCGATCTACTATTTCAATCATTTTTACTCTGTCCTCCCAACTGGGTTGACTCAAACTCCTCGCAAGATGATCGAGTAATTTAGGTCAAAGGAAGCAAAATTAGTTCGAGATAGCGAAGAGTTTCACAGTTCATCAGTTATTATTAGAGAATGCATGCATGTATTTGATTCTGCAGCGTGAACAATATTACGATTATAAAAGAATGCAGTTTATATAAGTTACCTATACAGCACAATTGTTAAATAAATTATAATGATTATAATGTGTTTAATGCATAATATTGGACATATAAAATTTGTATCAATGGGTCAAAGGATCAACCACGTTCTTTAACCGATTAAGTTGCATTGCGCCCTATTGCGCCCTATTTTATTTCTCACTTTGTCTAGCGCCAGACGATTTTATTCGTCAAAAGGAGAGCGCTGTATCACGGCAATTATATGAATTACTCGCTAAAATCCGAGTCAGTCAGATTTGTCACTTTTCAAATCATACAAGTTATCCATGAGATTTGTATCCAGGAAATTGAATATAGCTATGTATTCAAAAATACATTACAAAAGGAAATAGTTTTCTTATGGAGATGATGTACAGAGATTTACTGGAACGTTGAGAAATACAAACTTCATTCTCCGAATAAGAATCACAAAATTCGAAAACCTGTCGTTAAGTTATTTACTCGAAGTATCCGATTGAAAGCAATAATAATATGTAAAATTATGGAAAAACATGCAGCTTGAGGGAAATAATCCTTTCAATTCTTAAAAGAATCGAAGTTGATGAGTTTATGAAACAGCTTCAAATTATTTCCTTTTCAGTAAGAAATAATCGTGGCAGAAGAATGTGACGTCAAGAACTTGGTAGATGCTGCAGTAAACTCAGCATTTTTTCCCATGCAGTTGTAAACTGTATCACTGACGAAACCATAAACTGTTTTTACTGTTCCTGTGTATGACGCCCAAAATGTAAATTACATGGGCCGCAAACATAACAAGCTCCAAGCAATATATTTATTATGTGCAGTCTCTCAATTGATATAAAACTTTAGCCTAAATTTAAAATAATGTAAAAAGTTTTATACTGATATCATTCAGCCTTTAAATAATATAAAACGTTAGCCTATAGAATGCAGGAAATACTAGTTCAAGGGTCTAATTAAATTATATAGTTTTTTATAATTTTTTAAAATATTTTTTATTTTTTCTATTTCTCGTGCTTTCGCACAAGGAGGTGAATTACTTGTTATAAGCATGGGTATCGCATGCCTGTTGCATTATTGTGAGAAGTTTCATTTTTCCTAAGCCTGGATCACAGGCGGCTCAGTGGCTACAGTAAAAATATGGCTACAGTAAAAATATGTCATAAAATATAAATTTCAAAACGAAATTGACTTGCCTATTTGGTAGTGTGTGTGAGGTAAAAGGGGTAAAATGGGATTGATCTATTTTAGATTGGGAAAATGGGATTTGGGTTGCTGGGACTGGGATTTGGCCACTGGGAATGGGAAATGAAGTCCTCAAAAATGGGAATGGGATTGAGGTAATGCGAGTCGATTCCCAATTTTTCTGCATTTTGAATATTTTAAAATATAATTTTGATCCGTTTTTGGTGTCTTTGGTCATGATTTTTGTTGTTAACTATATTATTCACAGCACTACCTGCGAACAGGCATGCTCTGGCGCCCGAAATTCTGGGTTCTCTGATTATGCGTGTCTCAGAATGCTGCAAATGCCATTTCCGGGATTCAAATTTAAAAATTTTCAGTGCCTTCGGCACAAGCCCTCCTAATATTTCATAAAGTGTCCGCCACTTGCCGGTCTTAAAACTGTTTATTCTACCGATAAATAAAGGGGTTTTTATTGACTGGAATTTCAATAACTGGGACTGAGATTTCTAATAAAATCCAACTGAGACTGGGATTTTGCCAAAATTTAAGGTGGGAAATGGGATTGGGACCCCCCCCCCACCCCCACCCCCTTCAGGACCTTTTATTCCTCTTTTGTTGAATTAATATTTTCTGAGACTTTTCACTCGATGCTATACTAGTATACATAATACATGATAAATGCAAACGGCTTCCGATCGTCGATCCGTCGGCACAAGCATTTCGAATAAAAAATCAAATCGCTTTATTTTCAAAAATAATTCGCTAGCGCATGTAGAACAGATTGAACAGATGCCGTTTTTCGACAATAAAGAGATGTTGTGGCGAGATGTATAAGTTAAGTTTTGGACCATATTTTAACAATGGAAGGCAAAATCCATTTTATATTGAACTGACAAAGACCGACGATTACTACCACGAATGCATGGGCCTGACCAGGCCTTCTTTACCGTTGGCATTTACAGCGAGGGGACGACGCCACAAGACTGCGCATGCGAGATTGCGAGAAGTGCAATTGAAAACAACATATTGTCGGACTGTATATAGCATATATGTTATACTATAAGAAATGTGTTTGTCTATCGCTTACTCACGCTCACACAGTGGCGGAAACTAGGGGGACCAGGGGGGCGATCGCCCCCCTCTCCAATAATTTTAGCTAGCTTTCATTTTGAAAAATGTAACATGCCGGCCAGCCAGACCAACAATTTAGTCCCGCTATGCAAATATCATTATTCATTTCTTTAGAAACTGATTGTTTTCACAGTCAATGAACACGAAAATATTTGCATAGCGGAGCTCCCGTGGCCGGATGACGTCAAAAATGACGCGAATATAGGTGCACTTTTATACATTTAGAATCGATTTCCAGAGTCATACTATAGAAACGTCGCATTGTTTTGACGTTTTGAAATTGTATTTCCAGTTGGGATTAGCTCACATTCGGACCAGAATTGGAAATACCGTGATAAAGATGCAAATTTGAAGATATAGGCTCGAAAATGACAGTCACTCTAAACAGTGTTTCTGATAGCGATTCGAGCAAGACTATTACAAAGAAGATACGGTCGAAGGCCTAGGGCCGAAGTTATGTTTGGCGAAAGGTATGGCTAGTCTATATTATTACGATCTCGCTTGACTTTCAAAGGCCATAAATCGCTACAATGTGGGCAATGACAAACTATCGTGGTGAATTAGTTGATATTGTTTCACTGAATCGAATGGTGGTATTAATGTATTATTGTCTTCATCAAAGTCATCAGCTTCTAAAAGTTCAGTGACATGCGTGGGACTTGTCGAGAAAGAGTTGAACCACCTTGAAATTCCATTCACAAATGTATTTAATTATCTAGAATATTTTCTCTGAAATGTCTTTTTTTATGCTTAGCATATGATTTATTATAACAGAACGCACCATTTAACTAATGCTTTGAAAACCTGTAATTTTTACAAAATGTGCTCTCAGAATGCTGCAAATGCCATTTCAAGGATCCAAATTTTACAAATTTTCTGGGGGAGCATCCCCCCCACTACTCCCCTAGAAATATCATGCCTTCGGACTCGCCCCAATGTTTTAGTAGCTCACTCAAAAAGTGAAGGTTAATGTGAGCTTCACTTGAGTGTCAATGCTGTTTTTGAACAGCTGGAGGCCGAGTATCACATGTAAAATACGACACTAACCATCCAGCTATTCAAAAACAGCATTGACACTCAAGGGAAGTTCATATTGAACCTCCACTCTTTGAGTGTGAGCTTGAGTGAGCTTTTAGAATATAGGCGTGTGTATATCATATTTCAAATTAACTTTTAATAGAACTATCATATTTTGAATTAATGTAACCCCCCTGTAAATCCCAACTGTGAAGGAGGCCTGGTTGCCCATGCATTCACGGTAGTAATCGTCGGCACCCTTTGTAAGTTCAATATAAAATGAATTTTGATCTCCACTGTTAAAAAATGGTCCAAAACTTATACATCTCGCCGAAGCATCTCAGCATTTTCGAAGAACGACGTTTTTTTAGAATAAAACGATTTGAGGGGGATAACTTTCGACGATCGGAAGCCATTTTCCTTCATCATTATTATGTATACTATAGTACCATCGAGTGCAAAGTTTTGGAAAATATTAATTCAACACAAAGGAATAATAAGAGAACACACAGTATCGAATTCTGACAAATAGGCAAGTCAATGTCATTTAAAATTTATATTTTATGACATATTTTACTATAGTGTACATTACTACACTGACCCTTGCGAGATTGGGCCGCCTATGCCTGGATCAAACGAGCATGAGAATCCTGATGAGAATTAATGGCATTTGTGTGTTAACATTCGAAAGAACGTCATTCGGAAATTTAGAAATCCATTCGGGAATTTTCATTTGCACCTCCATGCATAAAATGCGACTCTGTCTTGAACTCCCGCTATCTGAAACTTTTTTGAGCTAGATGGCGTATGCAGTTGCCATGCTAAATTTACAAGGGATAAGCAGCATAATCAAAAGCTCGAAATGTCTCATGTTTACAAAATAAGGAACTAGTTGATTTAGTAAAAGCATTTAGCTGGGAGTTCTAGCCGAAAAAAGGTTTTGTATATGGAAATAAAGGATGGTAACAATTTTATTTTAATCATTTATATACGTACATTAATACAATAAGCATATGCATATTAAAGTACAGATAATGTGAATCACGAAATCAAATTTACCAACTGCGATCAATTCATGTGTTAATCAGTTTATTGTCCATGATGTTGAAGAATGTTTATTGCGTCAGAGATGTTCAACTATCCTTCCAGAGCTGGATAGCGTTCAATCCGTAGTCTGGAAAGCAAAAACCCAAGAATTACAATAAACAATTGTTAATCTTATCCGTCTGTACACCCCAACAAATCACAGGTTATGATCATTTGTAGCCTGTTCGCTAGGCTAGAGTCATAGTAATAGAACATAATATTAAAAGAGGTTAAATAAGATCAGTGCCCATTAATTAATACTAGTTCGAATCTATTTCACAGAGCTATATGTGACTATATATGTCTGTGCTATCATACAATGTCTCTTTGTGATATGTGCCCTTTATCAGCCGTTCCGCACGTTGTAACCAATAATCTATTGGCGTTGTAATGCCATTATATGCAATAAAGTATTGGGTTGTAATGGGTATACGTTTAATCCAAACGTTAATCCTAATCCAAACCCTAACCCCTAACCTCTAACCCCACCCCCTAACCCTAAAGCCGAAAGCCGGTGGCCCGCTACCCCTCCGGGGAATATACGCCCTCCTGCCTCCCCAACATCCACCAAGCTAAGCCAATTACATTTATAACCAAAATTTTGTCTAATGATTGTGGTTTTGCCTTCAGTTACAACCCAATACTTTATTGCATACAATGGCATTACAACGCCAATAGATTATTGGTTACAACGTACGGAACGGTTGCACCTTTATACAGGGTGTATCAGACAAAATTAAACGAGACCTTATCGACATTTTGAAGCAAAATGGCGGCTATACATGTCTACCATCTGACCATAGGTCTCATCGAATTTCTACTGTAAATTTCAATTGTTGTTCGCAGGCATCTTTAAATAATTACTGCATGCTGTCCATTGTCCAATAGCATTCATGGGTACAAATTAACAATGATCTCTACGGCTATATACGACATTCTTTATTTGCAAATTTTTTATTTCATTAAATTAAATGTTTGATTTAATCCTTTTATTTCCCCAAATGTTCATTCTATGCTTAAAAAGGTTGAAAGTTGCTCATTTGGTGCTTATAAACAGTCAAAAGTTGCCCCGCACAGTAAAAGTCGCTCGAAGTTGCTCGAAAGGCAAAAAGTCTGTTGCATAAAACTCCAAAACTTGCTCATAAGTTGCCGAGCACAATCTATAAAGGCCTACTGCTCGCAGCCTGTATTTGTTCGAAATTAGTTTCCGAAATTTTGGACTGCAGAAAGCTAAATAATTAAAGGACACTTCTATTGCTCATAGTCGTAATTGACTTATTATAATTACTCTATTTTACAAACTGTAAAGCTCTCGCGAATTAATGCAACGACAAACATTCTGATGAGTTCATATATAGAAATGCATGCATGTTGCGCCGAACAACTATATTGGTCCCAGTCGATCATTACTAATTCAACATAAATTACATAATCCATTCTGAGTCGACAATTAAATCCATAAGATTCGGCTAAAACAAAATCCAACTATCATGCATATAATACTGTATGTGAGGATGTAGACGTGTTTACTGCGTGCATATAGTGACTACTTTGGATAATTGGGTCGTGATATGCTTAAAAATAATCGATCATAACAAAAATAGTATTATACAGTTTCTGTGGTTTCACCTTCTGCAAACTTTTCCAGGACGTTCTTTGAAAAAGTGGAAGCACCACATGCTTGATTATCACAATACAGAAAGCGAAAGCGACACAATTAACAGGAAAACTCTTCGTTTTCTGAGAAAACCTTGTGGCCTCAAGTGCTTAATCATATGTTGTTACTTTTGTAGCCTATACATGCTTTGCCATTCTATTACAGATACACCTCACCAGAGTGATTTTTATCGCTGCGCATGAGCCATATAATTTTTCGTGCGCATGCTTCTCTCGATGTTTGTTGCGAAAAATTCAAATGCGCAAGACGATTTTGTCTGCGATGAAGCTTTTTACATCAATGTGTTAAATATTAGAAATTAAGCTGGATTTAATATCATGATACGTACAGTCACGTACAGTCACATTTAGATTAACGCAAAACTTCAATGTTCATGTTTCTCATGAGAGAACTTTAATTGTTTACTAATAATTTTACCGTCATGTTTCAACGCCCTGGAAATAAAAGTGGGCAAACTAAACCAAAATTATTTAATATCTACTTACTCAATCCCATCCCACAAGCCTCTCGCTTTACGCTTGATCCAGGCACACAAAGTACTCGCTTTCTCCTTGATGCTGTACACACTGTGATCCACAAACTCCTTGGTGGTAATCTTCCCAGACATCAAGTCACCGATGCCACTAGATTGAAGACTAATCGGGCGGCCGTATCGACACAGTGTAACAAAATGCTCACAGTTGTTGGTGTAGAAGTTGTAATCCCAAAACTTGCCAACCCAACCTCTCGCTGTTTTCACAATTTGGCCAGGCGATTGAATCTTGTCGCGAAAACCATCAGCGTTATCCAAATGGTTGTTCTTCCTGACCAGTTTGCCTTTCAACGCGTCCACCATGTGTATTCTTACGACATCGCATTTTTTTAACATACTGTCGGAAGAATCAACGTGGACTATCTCGCCATTACCAATGAAAATCGCAAAATGGCTGTAGAACCACTGATGGACCATGTTTCCTTTCACTTGAATCATGTCTCCGGGACGAAGTTTGTCCACCAAACTACGTGGATCGACAAAATCGCTTCTGACATGCTCAACGGCTTCGCTTGCTTTTTTGTTGTCGTATAAAACCAAGGACTGTGATCGACTCGGACCTTGTTGCCTAGAAGAACTGCTACCCATTTTGCTGTACAGCGTGTTGTTAGGAATAGGCTACGAGCAAAATAAAATGGAACCGCGTGCCCTGCAATTCTATATCTATGGACGCTCACGTCGTCCAACAACGTTAGCAGTCGGCAAAACATCGGCAACGCCTGTCGGTGCGGTATCTGTGCATATCTTTTTGTTATTTAATACTAAAATTGTGAAATACCCAGCAGTAATGTCACACCTAATTTCCTGTCTTGTTTCTGCGTGACATGCTTGCATGAGAACGACCGAGACAAATTGATATACAGTATAGCAAATAGTTGAAATGCTTTACAATATTGTTGACTGTGTTAATGCAGTGATGATCAGTACTAACTTAAACTTTGTCTGAATAATATAGGGTGTATGTATAAAATTATTATCATTTACCAATTACTAATTACCATTACTAAAATACTCATTTCTAAATACTTATTAGAGAATTACGACTAATTTCGAACACACAATGGCCGATTGTTCAGACAACCCATCGTAGTTCACTGATCAGTAATGCGTTTACATAGAACTAATGTAATCGTTAATTTAACTAAGCAAATCCATGAATTACTGTAGTGAGCATGCAGACGATAACTGTAGCTTGAGCTACAGTACGTAATAGTACTAGAAATACATGCATGCAAAAAGCCCTCGCCTACATTTTCCAACATTGTTTCGACAAGAAGCATTCCAAATTATTCCAACACTGAGCCCTGCAGGGTCGCGTTGCTCGCGTCATATTAGCCATTGCAAAACGGCAAAAATTAAGTTTAACACTTTTTACCATACAACTATCCATTTCTAATTTATATAAAGTAGGTATGTTCTTTCACATTCCAGTAACCTTCAATTTAATGTAAAATTCAACCTTGCCCTAGCTTGGGTGCTTCACAAAATGTTACATATAATAATTGTTTCAATTGTTTCTGACGATTACAACTAACTAGAAATTTAAATACATGCATGCAGAAACCCCCGCCTTGCTGACAAAACCGTTGTATTTTCCGAACATGAAGTATCTAAAGTAGTTGTCATGGTAACACGATAATTTTTGTATCTGCGAAGCAGATATATTGCTATCGCAAACGTGACCGTAACGTACCGTATGTCAACACATAGCCATTCAGCGACAAGCTTATATATTTTAAGCCATTTTATGCCAATTTAAGCCAATCAGCGATTCGTTTACATCAATTGTTTACATCGTGCCCGCTGATCTAACCTGCGAACGGGCATACTTTAGCCTCATCAGGCCTCGTGTATAAATCGTGTTTATATTTTTTCAAAAATATCTTGATATTTTTATCAATTTATCTTGAATTGGTTGTCTTGTTTTCTGACTTTTCTCGCCATTCTACTTGCGATATTATTCCGAAGTTATTTATCAACATGGAATCTTATCCTCATCTGGTAAGTAGTCAAATACCACATATTATATATTTAAATACCAAATTTGTGCAAATATATGTCCCACATATTTTATAATACATGAGTTCGCCAGTTCGGGAAATATTTGCTATACTATCTATAGTTAATATTGCCGTAGCCTATCTTTGGCGTAGAGTTTACATGGAATGCACTCTGGAATTTTTTTATTAATATATTACACTGTATAAAATATTGGATATTTTCGAAGATATTTTAAGCCATTTGTCAACATAGTTCACAAAAAGATTTATACAGTATTAAAAACAATCCTTCTGTGACTTCTGTAATATTAATATTTTAAACAGTGAAAATATTCTCAGGAGATATTGAATTAAATCCTGGTCCTGTATTTCTGTATATTGACTCCATAACTCTGTTCAAAACAACAGTCCAACTATAAAGCTGTCATCAAATGTAGTGTTAGAGCAAAGGTTGAAGATGTTATCAGTTAAAATACTTATACATTTTGGTTTTACACATTTATAGAGTTAATTAAACAAAATTTTTACAAACATTTTCAAATAAAAGAATCCTCACCCTCCCGAGCCTCATTACATTGTCATTTTGCTTTCTAACATAAATATTTTTCTTTAGAGATTAATACAAGAATGAAGAATAAATGTACTGGATATTGGCTGGATAATTTTGTCAGAACAACCAACTTGCAAGACAATCTTACCTAAATTCATTAGTATGGAAAATAACTTAACAGCTACAATGAGTAATCATATATTACATGGTGGATTTGATCAATGGCACACAATGTACCAGAGGCGGCGGAACAGATTTCATTTAGGGGGGGCTAAATTTTTTTCCGTGACCTCGCTCCCCCCCCCCCGTCGCCAAAAAAATTTCGGTCAGTGTACCATTTTAGAGGTAAAAAAATTTCTCCGGACATATACAGGAAAAGGGACGAAAAAAATTTTTCCGGACCTATAACAAAACATTTTTCCTAACATACACTATTTTTCAACAAAATATACCAAATTTTTCCCCTTATACCTAAATTTTCAAAAAATACCCTAAATTTTTCCTTAATTATCAAACTTTTTCCAGAAAAAACAGAATTTTCTGGGGGGGGGGGCTAAGCCCCCCCCCCACTTTTACGTCAGGGGGGGGGCTTTAGCCCCCCTAGCCTCCCCTGTTCCGCCGCTCCTGCAATGTACAAAACTAAACTTGTGATACCTTCTACTCAAACCGATAATCTCCCACAACACGTGTGAATTGTGCTGTACGTGTTAAACCGAACAGTGTGCAGAGAACTGGAATTTAATTATATACTTCACTCATAACCTTCAAAACATTCTCAATTATTCAGTGGTCTTCGACATGTTCACCAAATATTTTGTGTATGTTACTCAACAGTTAACATTGGCAAGTGTAAACAACAAGTGACATAACTTTTGCTTCATATGATTACAATAAAGTTTTGAAAATTTGATGAGTCTGGATTGAATTGACAGGTGACAGTTTACTAAATAGCCGGCTGTATAGACACTTTGAATATTGTTTGCATGAAATTTTTATTTCCTGACTGCATAATTATCTGTTACAATCATAATCACATTATAAAGTTAGTTAAATTTTCTCGGTGCGGGGGTTGGGGTGGGGGTAGCACTTGCCCTGCTGCACTCCCCGCTGTGTACAGCCCTGTTTTAAATCTTATCTGCCATTATAATAAGTGATGAAATATTTCAATTGTCCCATGTCATCTTCATTATTCAGTTTCTTTCAAGAAAATACAAAATGTGAATCAAGTTTTTTTCGCAGATACATGTACGCGTCGCGTACCTATTTTTTAAGAATATTTTTACAAATGAAAAAACGCCTAAAAATATCACTTTTAATTACAAAATTATCAATTTCCCAACATATATATGTTAGGTATGTTATAAGCTTCAATTTAAGGTAAAATTCAATCACAAATGCTTCGCAAAACGTTTTAAAGTGTTCTTTATAAAACTAAACTGCCTTTAATTAAATTAAACTAAACTGCCTTTAATTAATAAGATTGACGGTGGCTTGATCGACGATGGGGTCAGGGACAGTGTTTTTTCCCTTGATTGATGGGAAAAATATTGATGATTTAAAAGTAGTCGACTTGAAGAAAGCATTGGGACTGAGGGGGCTAAAGAAATCAGGTCTAAAGGGTGAACTAAAAGAAAGACTTCGCCAGGACATTATTAGTCACTCTGTAGAATCCCTTAGTGATACGTCAATTTCATCCGAAGAACATAATGGGACCTCGACAATCCTTCCAAATCTACCTAGCTTTAAACCTATAAACCATTCTTCAGGTTTTAGGGTTTATTCGAGGGAAAATTGTTCTGTGACTTCTTTGATTCGGCATATGATGAGGCGGTGAAATGGCGGAAGAATGCATTTAAAATTCCTTCAGGGAAAGCGGGCAAAGAATTCATCAAATTACAATCACAATGGCTATCTAAATTTAATAATGAAGATAGTTTTATGGGTATATCATTGAAGGTTTTTATGACCCTTCCAATGATTCTTCTGCAAAAGCCCTCAGTATCGTCAAAAGCAAAGGAACATTCGCAAGCCTTGAGTCGTAGAATCAAATGGCTAAAAGATGGTGAATTACAGCGTCTGCTTTCAGAATGTCGTTCTATCCAACATCAATTACGACCAAAGACATCCTCGGACAATCTGTCTAAAACTTTTGCAAAGTTAATCATGATGGGAAACGTTAATGCTGCTCTTCGTCTTCTTAGCGAAGAATCTGATGGTTGTGTCCTACCATTATCCGAGGAAGTCCTTCGAAATCTGCAGGAGAAGCATCCAGCCCCAGCAGATATACAACCAAGTAGCTTACTCCATGGTCCCATTATTGACCTTCGCAATATATCTATAGCAGTTGATGAGCAAACTATACTAACTGCTGCGAAAACACTAAAGGGAGCTGCTGGTCCCTCTGGCCTCGACGCTAATCAGTATATTCGTATGCTTTGCTCAAAGCAATTTCACCGTGAAGGTAAATGCCTGCGTGAACAAATTGCTTTGTTTGCTGTGAAAATAGCAACAGAAAGTCTGGATCCCTTCTGCCTGGAAGCATATGTTGCCAATAGACTTATCCCCTTAGACAAGTCCCCAGGTATACGACCCATCGGTATTGGTGAGATTATGAGGCGCTTGGTTGGGAAAGCGCTAACAAAGGAATTCAAGCAAGATTTCAAAGAAGCGACTGGTCCGATTCAAGTCTGTGCTGGGCATGAAGCTGGAGCAGAAGCAGCCATCCATGCTATGCAGCAAGTATGGGAAGAGAAAAACACGGAAGGGATCTTACTGATTGATGCAAGTAATGCATTTAATTCACTAAATCGTCAAGTTGCTCTTCATAACATTTTGTTATTATGCCCAAGACCAGCGATATCCATAATTAATACGTATCGAAACCCCGCGAGGCTATTTATTGTGGGCGGAGGTGAGCTTCGATCGCAAGAAGGCACAACACAGGGGGAACCATTAGCCATGCCTTTCTATGCCATTTCGGTCATGGTATTAATTTCATTTCTTCATGATGCATATGATATGGTGAAACAGGTTTGGTTTGCCGATAACTCGACCGCAGCAGGTAAACTACGTGCTTTACTGGCGTTTTTTGAAATGCTAATAAGCGAAGGCGTAAAGTATGGCTACCATGTCAACAGTGGGAAGTCTTGGTTAGTAATTAAAAATCCGTGTGATATAGAGAGAGCCACTGAATTATTTAAAAGTCACGACATCAAGATTACATCCGATGGTCATAGATTACTGGGAGCTGTCATTGGATCTACTTGTTTCAGAGAGGAATATGTTAATAGCAAAGTCTCTACTTGGTGTACCGAGCTCGAAAATCTATGCTCTATAGCGAAGTCGCAGCCACATGCCGCATACGCTGCTTTTGTGCAAGGTTATAAGCACAAGTTTACTTTTTACATCAGGACTATTCCAAACGTGGCCCATTTGTTCCAACCTGTAGAAGAAATTATTTGTTCGAAATTTCTACCAACTATATTTGGCCAGGATATTTCTCAACTTGATCGGGAAACTTATGCTCTACCCATACGTAATGGAGGACTGGGAATACCACGTATCCCAGAAGATGCTGATTTCGAGCGAAATACGTCAAAACTGTTATGTGGTCCACTATCTGCTTTGATCATCATTCAAGCATGTAATCAACTTCCACAACACGACGAAATAACCAACGCAAAGTCCCAAGTTCGAAGTCTTCGGGTGGAAAGAGCAACTACCTCCTCATTATCGGTTGATATTCAACTTTCCCAAGAGCAGCATCGAACAATCTCTTTAGCCCGAGATAAAGGTGCCTCTGGATGGTTAAATGTCTTACCACTGCAAGAAGAAGGCTTCTGTCTGAATAAAGAAGAATTCAGAGACGCTTTGGCGCTGAGATACTGATAACAAATATATCCCAGATCTCCCAAGCATATATCCCTGTGGAAAACCTTTCGATCCTTACCACGCGATGGAGTGTAAAAAAGGTGGCTTTATACACGCGCGCCACGACCAAATGAGAAATCTGGAAGCTGCTCTCCTCTCTGAAATCTGCAATGATGTTTCTATCGAGCCACCTTTACCACCGGTGACAGGAGAAGAATTTGCCTTGAGATCAACAAACACAGAAGATGAATCACGACTTGATGTGAAAGCTGGGGGTTTCTATAGACATGGCCAAAGTGCATTTTTTGACATAAGAGTAGCACATCTTAACGCCGCGTCCTATAAGTTACTACCAACCCACAAGATCCTCTCACGTCATGAGAATGAGAAGAAAAGAGAATATAATCGAAGAGTAATTGAAATTGAGCAAGCAGTTTTTACACCATTGGTCTTTGGCACAAATGG